CATTGAATTTGTTAAATCTAATGCAACTAATGGACGAAGATTTTTATCAAATAATTTAAATGTACGACCATCATGTTTAAGAATTGTTTCTAATGATGATGTCATTAATGTATATTCTGCATCAATAAATGAAGAATTAATTAATGTAAAATTAATATTTGTTAAATCAATTTTTTCATTTTCATTATCATTTTCAATTTTATTTTGTTCCATATGATAACGACGTCTTGCAGCTTGTTGTCGTTCAAATTCATCACGTAAACGTTGAAGTTTTGATTTATATATTGTTTCAATACGATTTATCATAGTTTTTTTCCATTCATCAAGCATTAATACTAAACGTTCATAATGTTCAAGTTCTAATGAACTATCATCATCATTAATATCATTTTGTAAAGAACAATTTATAGTTTTACATGGTTCATTAGATGATATTTTTAAATAACCACAATGAAGACATTTACCAGAATATTGATCAATAAAATGATGAGAACATATTCGTTTAGATAATGATGTATCCATATCGATAATGTCTATAAGACAGATGAAGACATTATCTATATCCTTAATAATAAAAATTGCATTTAATTGTTTTTTTTTTCTTCTAGTCTGATTTGTATGTGTTTAAAGAAATTTTGCTTTTAATTTATTTTTTTAATGCATACATATATATATATTATGCTACGTGTGTATGTGTTTTTTTTTAAACTCTGTCCATCAATGCACAATTTAGTTCTACAAGAACCAATCTAATACGAATAGGAAACAATGTATAATCATTATACGAGAGAAAAAAAGAAAAGCAAAAACAAACAATCATAATTTATACAAAATACATAAAATGATACTTGTTTTTTTAACACTACTAAATAGATAAATGATATAGTCAATAATATATACGAAAACTAAATATAATACAAAGAAAAGAAATTGATAGAATAATTTATGTTTTTACAGAACGTCGTTGACGATTACCAAGAAGAATATTATCAAGATCAAGACCTGATCCAAGAAAGAATTTTTTAGATTTAATTATATTTTTATTTGTTTTTGATAAATTTTTTCGTTTTTTAATATTAGATGAAGATTTTTTATTTAATAAAGATTGAATAGGTATTTGAAATGATCTTGTTCGACGTAATTTAACACGTTCTTCAATTGATAAAGATGGTATTGTATCGATTGAATGAGAAATTATTGGATTTTTCTTTTTAATAATATTACCTTGTGTTGATTTAATATAATTTTTATTCTTATTATTTTGTTTTTTTTTTAATTGTATACGTGATGTTTTTTTCTTTATTGATGATTTTATTTTATTTTTTTTAGAAGTATTTATTATTGGTATTGATACATTAGTTGAATTTGATAAATTATTTTCTTTATCACTTGAACTACGATCAATTGATACTGTACGATTAGTTGATGTTGTTTTATCTATTAAATAAAAAAAAAACAAAATAAAAAATTTTTCAAGAATAGAGTTCTTTTGTTTTGTTCATACTAGAATGATTTGAAATTTTATTATGTTTTTTATTTTTCATTGTACGTTGTTTTAAAGATAATGTATCATAATCAATCATTGAATATGAATGATCAGTAAGAAATTTATAATCATTTTCCATAATTGTTATTATTTTTATATTGACAATATCAAATGCATCAATAGGATAGTAATCGAATAGTATCTTTTGTCTTTTGTTTTTTTCAGAATAAAAATAATAAATAATTTTTCTGTAAAATAAATAATTTGATCTGACAGGTATGCAAGATGGAGAAAATACTATATATGAGTAAACAAATAACAACCATTAATCTCATGAGACTCTCATTTGGTTATTTTTCTATCCATTCATTTAGCTTATAGATTTTTAACAAATCAATTATGAAATAGAAGAATTTAAATGATTATACAATAGTTTTATATTTGTTTTTCTTTAATAAAGAATTCTGAAATACGAATTTCAAAAATTTTTCTATCAGAATTTAGTGACATCTATAAATTAAAAATATCAGAATATAGATAGAATAATTGATAAATCCTGTTTACTTCATATTTTCTCATATAAATCATAGTTTTTGACAATGTATAATTAACAATAGGCTCTTAGCTAATTACTGTGGAGATATATCATTTTTAAGGTATCTTGTCTTCATCTGTATCCTAAGATGTAGCTATGGTGAAAACATGTCGTTTACATATAACGACAGATTCGATGTTCTTATTTTAAAAATAAAGTATCTCGGCAGCAATAAGTTAAGGATCTGAACTCTTTTTATGATATTCATAGCTCATTTGATTGTACATAATGCTCATAGTCTCGAATCAAAAACAATTAATCAGTTGACAGTCTTCCCTCGTTATTAGTTCACAATCATTGAATATTATATTATAACTTGTTCCGCATCGTTTATTCAAACAATTCGTAAGAATATCTTTTATATGGAATTTTTCAGTCTTTTTTCCAGTACCTGAAATTATCGGAATTGATTTTGTTTTCATTTTTATTATGGACATTTAACTACTGTTTATTGAGGATACTGTTATCGTTTTTTTTTTTATGTATATATAAATAATTAAAAATTAACAATTATTATAAACTAGAAATAAAATAAAATAGATGATTGTCTAATTTTAATTTTCTATGATGACAAAACGAGGTGGTTATTATTTTAAAAAAAAAGTGAATTAAATTTGAGATTAAAAATGAAATATTTATAAATCAGCTTTGATTGTTGATTGACTATGAGATGATGAATGTTTGCTTTTACTTGAACGTTTTTTAGGATTTATATTTGGGCTATATTTTTGTTTTGGTGTTTTACTAAATGCACTTCGATGTTCATCTTTGGTTAATTCCGTATGTTCTTCAATTTCTTCTTCTGTATTACCTATTGAGTATACATCAAAGTTATATTAAAAAATAAACTGGTTTTCTATTTACCTGCTTTACATTCTTCACTACATTCTTCTTTACGATTAGCTGGACATTTCATACGTTGCATACATTTATCGTGCGTTAAGAATTGATTTGCTTTTAATGATGAAAACGCTAAAGAAATACATATAAAATATATATATTTTTTATTTAAGAAAAAAAAAATCTAGCAAAGAATACTTTTTTCTAATTCTTTTTCACGTAATTGTTCATTTGTTTCTTCGAGTTCTTCTAAATGTTTCTTACTACGATCAGCATTGTTGTTACCTGTTGATTCACTTTGAGCATTTTGATATATGTAAACGAAGAATATAATAAATACAAGTAGACATCGTTCTGTCAAATCTACCTAAATATAAAATTTTAACAATTAAATATGAAATAACAATATTTTTAATTCATTTCTTTTTTTTTATTTCTTGTTAATGTTTAATGAATATTTATATAAACATAAGAACACTTCAAAGCGAAACAAGAAAATATATTAATAACGGGTACAATATTCTTTCTATATATTTATATGCATACCTTTTTTTTTCGAAGTTTCTTTTCTTTCGATAAAGCATTATTGAACAAGAGTGTCAATACACAAGAAGTTTCAAATAAGTGATAATGGTAAAATAATACTTCATATTCTTTTCTTTCTCTTTGTCAACCACATGCAGTGTATATCGCAAAAAGAATTTGCTTTACACATATGCCATAAAAATAATCATAACAGACGCATAAAAGTGAGGGGAATCTGAAGAATAAAGTGAAGAACAAAAAAGAAAATTCTACCTGCACAAGCAAATCTTTTCTTTATACCGCAGAGAAAAGAAATGGTTAACAAAGACTATTATGCTGTATTAGGTGTAAGTCGAATAGCCACTGATGATGAAATTAAACGGGCATATAAACAAAAAGCACTTAAATATCATCCCGACAAAAATCGTGATGATGTTGATGCTGAAAAAAAATTTACGGATATTAGAGAAGCTTATGAACTATTATCTGATCATTATAAACGTTCGTTATATGATCGATTTGGTTCAGCTGATATTCGAAATTATTTCAATCCTGATTCTCGTACTAATTTTCGTCATTCATTTTCAACCGGTAATTATTATTCATCATTTGGTGGTGATTCAACATATGATCCATTGAATACTTATTTTGTACGTTCTAAAGAACCAACAACATTCTTTGATTTATATGTTACATTAGAAGAAATCAATAAAGGTACAACTAGGAAATTAAAAATAACACGTAAACGATTTAAACCTGAACTAAATACAGCAGTTAAAGATGAAAAAGTTCTTGAAATTCAAATAAAACCTGGTTGGAAAGAAGGTAAGAAACAAAAAAACAAACCTTGTCTTATAATGCCTTATCTACCTATACGAATGATTTAAGGGACGAAAATTACTTTCGAAAATGAAGGTGATGCAGGTGATCGAAATACTATAGCAGGCGATATTGTATTCATTATTCGAGATAAACCACATCCTTTATTTGAACGTTCAAATTCGGATATAATTTATCGAGTTAAACTCACATTAAAACAAGCATTACTTGGTACATTAATAGTCATTCCATTTCTTGATTCAACTAAATCAACATATCAATTACGTACTTATCAAGAAATTTTAACACCACAAACAGAAAAACGTTTTCCAAATGAAGGTTTACCTTATCCAAAAGATCCAACTAAACGTGGAGATCTTATTGTTAAATTTGATATACTTTTTCCAAAATTTCTTAATAGTGAACAGCGTTCATTCGCAGATAGTTGTTTTTCAAGTTCAATGGAACTTTATCAACCACATGATTCTGTACTTCATACAACTATAATGGATCAAACTAAACAACAACAACAACAACCGTTTCCATCGCAACCATTACAAGAGCAGCAACAACAACAACAACGTCAACAAATGTCACCTTCACAATATCAATTTGCGTTTACTCCTACGTCAACAGCCGCTTCTAAATCTCAATTTTCATCTATCAATAGCAACAATAATATTCAGAATCAAAAAGCTTCTTATCGGTATTTCAATAGCAATGGTCGTCATAGATCACCAGCATCAACTTCTAACAATACTAATCAAACTAAATCAACATCAGTACGCATTCCTCCTCCGGTGCCACCACGACCATCACCAACTTAACTTACAAGAACACATGTCAATGAAACTGTCTTTTAACAAATGTTATACTTATCGATCAGTACTTTTTTTTTCTTTCTTTCTTATTCAAAGTGTTTTTTAATTATCCTCTATATGATGTTCTATGTGCAATGATGAGAGTAGTTAGATCAATTTCGATATATAAAAAAACCTACTACATACGCAATTCTTTTAACATCATAATATATCGATCATAGAAAAGTCTAGGGATCAATTACTTGTTACAATGATGAAATAAAAAAAAAAAAAAGAAAGAACATAGATCTTACCATTGTATGAATAGTAAGGTATCAGGAATAGCAACAAAAGGATGGATAAATATTTAATGTGTCGTTTTCTTTTTTTTTGGTCTTGTACAGAGACGACTAACCAGATTCACTATTTACAAGGAACCAATATATATATATGTATATATGCGTATATATGAATATCGGTCTTTATAGTCGACGTCGGCTGCCGATTGCCAAATAGAAGAAAAACGTTATGCGATATCATATACGTATATAGATGATTCAAGGACAAAGTATGTCAAGACAGAAGAATAGAGGAAAAATATCTGTAGGATACTGAAAAGCAGCAGTGAATCTACTACATAACTGCTTGACATATGCGATCTTAATTATGATCAATTTATATTGGCCAAATAGAAGTTTAGATTTTTGCTTTAAAAAAAAAGAAAAAGAAAAAGTATATTTTACTTATTCCATACTAAAAGAAAAAAACAAGAATTATAGATAACATCTATGGCAAGCATTGGAAATCAAGAAAGGATATCAGATCTAAGACATGGCTTGTCAATTGTCCATTAATCGATATGTTAAATAGCTATTTACTTCTTAATCATTGTGGTATATGTATACAATTCGAAATATTCCTTTGAGATTAGAAAAAAAAATCTAAATTTGAAGTAGAATTTCATATACATATTTATTCAAACAAGTATTGTCATTATATCAATATCTTTATTATTCTTAGTCTATTTTCAATACAATACTCTCGAAACTTCTTGTTTTTTTTTTTTTGTAAATGTAACTTATACATTTATATTTAAATAATTACATTGAAATAAAACATGCGCTGAGAAAGCAAAATTTTTCTTAGTATTAATAATCGGAATGTAATAATCCATCGATGTTTGTCTAACCTTCTGTTAACTATCATACATGGTACCAAAACCAAGAATATAGATTATTAGTGCCAAGAGAATAATAACATAGAAAATAACTCTTAGAAGGTTATTATGTTCTCTAATAGATTCATCATTGTACACTAATATATTTCAGCTATCTATCTACTATACTACAAACAGAAATAAGATAATGTCAATTAACGTCTAGAGTTTGTTTATTTCGAATAAAATAGAATTTTTTGATTTATAGAAAGCTTTAATACATAGGTAATAAGAACAGTGTACGATAGCTTAAGGTACTAGCAATTCGAAACTAGATTCGAGTATTGAATATACAATTCGATGCAGATTTTTAAGGTGATCCTGAATATGATATTCATTTCTTTCGAAATTGAAGTTCTGATGGTCAAAATTGTTGAATACAAAATCATATTTATAGCAATACTCACAATCGAGAAATTAGAAGTTCAATAGAACTTTGAGAATTCAACAAAACAAACATCCATACATCTCTATAGATATTATTAAGCATTAGAATTCTATTCTATCGTTGGAATTGTCATAAATTTCTTGATTCATATTTCTATAGGTAACTTGACGAACTCTATCCAACTATCAACTATTTCTTTCTTAGTCCATTGTAATCACTCAAATAAAACATAATTATATGTATATGAATATTTATCAACAACAAAGAATCACACATTATTCAAAAATATTCTTTTGATTTCGTATATTCTCTATAACTTTGAATATATGTATGAGTGTTAACATTTGAGGCACTCATTTTTTTTTTCTTTATTCGATTAAAACAAACTAGTTCTATGATCATGCCACCACAATCATCGACAGCAAGGAAATAAAATACCCATATCGTTTATATATATACATCTAAGAAAGAAAAAAATAAAATGACAGGCATGTTCTTCTCCTGACAAGCTAATCCGATAATATATATTTTTATTACACAAAAATTTAATGAAACATATTTTAGATTTTAATTGCAGTTATTATTATGTGTGATCATTATTTATTCATTATTATAATACCGAATGATTGGACAGTTACTGTTAATCATGATGATAATGAACTAAATAAACATAGTGTAAACATTAAAAGTTTTTTTGTCGTTTACCAAAATTAACAAATCATAGAACTTAATTATATTTTCTAGTATTTAAATGAACTAATCGATGGAGAAATACCTCGAATCGATAGTGTTACATCTGACATCGTTAAACCTATACCATCAATTTTATAATCTCTATGTCAGGTTGAATCAATTTCATTACTTTCTTTGTCTGTAAAAACGATGAATTTATTTCTCTTCTTTTTTTTATCATATCTTCTTAAAAATACCATCTCTTAATACATATGGTTTAAACGAATATTCAACATGTATTCTTTCTGATAATCGAAAACAATATCAAAGAAATTTATCTAATGTCTTTCTCCAATATTAAAGACAGTTGATCCACCAAAGTTTTCAAATTCGGAGAGGGTATAGGTGTTGTTAGAAAATAGATCTACAACGAAACCAGTCCATACCTACAGCCATTCACACCTGATTGAAAGCCTAGAGACAGGCAAAACTTGAATTCTTGTATAAAATTAATATCGAAAGATTTACTAGATCTATTAGTTGATGATATTGATACTCATGGTACACATGTCTTATCTTCAGTTGTTGAAAATGATAGTGACAGCATTTATAGAAAAATCAACAATTATTTCTGAACGTAAGTATATTATTTATCAACATTTTATACTTTTCAACGTTCATATCTATAAATATTCTACACCTTCAAGTGTGACATCATCATGGTGTGTTTTATTTGTGTGCTACTTATGATGATCATGGATAAAAATATCAACATTCCGAAATTAACTTTCCAAAAATTCAGCACTTTGACTGACATCATGTCGAAGTCCTTGATAGACTTAAGGACTTCAGCTGACAATATGACTCTGAAACTTTCACTGGTCTCATGATACTTGCTTTAACAGACATGAACACTGAAGAACTTTGACGAAATTTATGAGTTTACATTAAGGAGTGTTGAAAACTTTACAACTCGCATAAATTTCGAGATGAAGACTATCGTCAGTACTATCCATTTGACAGACTTAAGGACGATAACTAAAGTCAAAACTCTATGGTTTCGTGCTAGATTCAGTTTTTTCTTGTCTCATTATACTACTGGCACATGTTAACCAATATGAAACTCAAATCAATATGAAGGAGTTAGCTTATGGGTTAGAATAAGGCGACAGATATAGATTAGTGAACTGTTTTGTGGGGTAGCTGCCGGAAACCGATACAAGGTTTTCGAAGTCTCAAAAACCTCTACTGTGTTTCCATGCACTCGAGCTTTTTTGATTGTTCTTGAGGGTTTCCGAGAGCTCGAAAACCCTTTATAGGATTACGAGAAAACCTTTTTTAGAGACCAAAAATATCTAAAGATACACAAACAATAGATGATTTCGTTGACGAATTTGAATTGGATGAAAAAGAAAATGATGATGATATTAGAGTGAACGAAGTCGAAGATGAAGAAGAAAATATCGCTTCATCAAAAATAAACTTTACCGGCATTAAGATTTTAAATAAAATCCATCCACATTTCAAAAGATTCATACTCCAAAATCAAGATTAATAAGAATTATCGGTATTTACATAAGTTCGCATGTTGGCTCTTACCTGATATAAACAGTCATTTATCAAGTGATCGTCTTTCTCGTGTCACTGAAACAAGCAGAAAATGCTAATTATGATGTTGTTTATGTTCTTGTGATTTGCTTTAGTTATGCTTTTTAATAAATCTCTTAAGGTAACAAAAATTGTCTTATCTTCTTATAAACATTTTTATACTTCTAGATACTTCTCGGTACTGCTGCAATTCTTCATACTTCAGAAGTACAGAAGTATGCTTTTTCTCCCTTGGAATAAAGATAGAAAAAAGTTATTTTACTAGCTGAGAGGATTCCATATTCAAAAAAAAGGAATTGGCATTGTGTAAAAAATAACGTTAGCAAAAATACCCAAAGTTTGCACGATTATAAAAGTTGTAATTAACTTTCGTAACATTCAATGTGATAAACCTACATTGGTAAGTGCGTTGCTGTTAAAGAAAACGTTCATCCTAAGAACAATCTAATGAAATAGTTTCCATGGATAACTAATTTCTCGACTACTATTGTCATTTCATTGGATAGAGTACATTTTAAGAACTACTCCAGTATAAAAATGTTTTCAATTTGAATGTTGAATAGTTAAGCAATGAATCAAACAATGTACGATACGTTTTTTTTCCTCATTATTAAGATGATCTATTCTAAGCGAAAGGAGAAATATAAACATTTTATTAGTGGAATATTCTTGAATAAAATAAAATCACACTGTAAAAATATTTCATTATATAATAGTTTTTTTTTTCAAATACAAAAGTCAATATCTTTTGAAGTGGATAGTATAATATTAAAATCGAGTGAGTTGTTTCGCTCCTAGTGATGATGACAGTTTATACTGTGCAAACCTATAAAAGAAAGACAGTTCGAAATTGAAGTTGTTGCTATGGAAACAATATTCTTACCGTCTAGAAAAATAAATATAAATACCAATCGCCAATGCACTGGTTATCAACATACCAGAGCCTAAACCGATACCTAATCCTAACTTTATTCGTCTTAGTTCAGCTTCAAGATCTTGACAATTTGGTGGTAATACACTATTAGATGTTGTTGTCGTTGATGTTGTTGTTGTTGTTGTTGTATCTGATGTTGTTGTAGTTGATGTTGTTGTAGTTGATGACGTTGAAAAAGTTGTACTAGGGCAAGATATACTAATCCTGGTACCTGTTTCGCAATCTTCTTCCCAACATGTATTAGGACAGCGCGTAGTTGTAGTAGTTGTCGTGGTAGCTAATAAAAAAAAAATATATATATAAATATATATAAATTCATCAAGCATTGATCAATTACAAATGTGACAGTATATAACTCGCTCGATAAAGTAGTAGAAACTATTCAACTGTGAATAATCATTCAAATATAAACGAAAAATATGTTTCTAATAGGTTGAACGTAATGATCTCTGTCAAATAATCACAGAATTATTTTGAGAACGACGACATATGATATTTTTTTGATTCTTTACTACTTCAGTTTCAATAGAAAATAAGCTCAACGGTTTAATCTTTCTATCATTTGAAGGACTATTTATTTTCACTTGCAATGTACGTATAAATACTTTGACCTAGGCTATTAACTACGATTACGAATTATTTTTATTGAACTTACTTGTAGTTGAAGTTGAAGTCGAAGTAGTAGTCGTTGATGTTGAACTTGATGACGTCGTACTTGTAGATGTGGTTGTTGCTGTTTTTAGAGAAAAAAAAAACAACATAGAATACCACTGATCACGGATACATTAAATAATTTATTTTAATAAAAGACATAGCAGAATCTTAATAAGAATTTTATAGGTTCAGCTACAATGATTGTCGAAAGACAATGAAAATTTTGAAAATGAATCTATCAAGTACTAAAGATAATTGAAATATATGTGGTAGGAAAAATAAAAACTATCTATTTATTATCCTTCGATTCAAATGTCTGTGATTCAATTTTTCACTCTTCAAAATAATAGATAACATGGGTTTCTCAACAAATGTCGGTGCATACTTTCATTTTCTGTGAAGAATCGACAAATCACTCAAATCTGAACATATTCAGATCGATACTGGAAGCTCTTAGAGACAGAGTTTGACCTGTAATGTCGAAATTTGTGGTTCATTCTACTTACTTGATGTTGTAGTTTCTGTTGATGTTGTGGTTGTGGTTGCTGTAGAAGTTGTAGATGTCGTTGACGTATCCGTAGTTGATGTTGTTGTTGTAGTTGTTGATGTCGAAGTTACGGATGGAGTTAACGTCGTCATTGTCGATTGGGTTGTTATGGTTGTTGATGGAGTCGACGTTAATGTAGAAGTGGTTGCTGTCAATGTAGATATAGTCGATAGGGTTGTTATTATTGTTGAGGTTCCTTGTCTTTTTGATCTCGGTACTTCGTCTTCATCACATATACAACTACAGGAAGAAGGGCAAGTGTCGGTAGGCAGTGCTTGGCTTTCGTAACTCTCTAGAAGATCATCAAACAAATTTTGGGCAGGAGAAATTTTTATAATATTTATGCAAAATTGGTTTTAGATAAAATACAATAAAAATCAAAACATACCTTCATTAATTGAGAATCCATTAGCAAGATACAAACTTGCAAAAATTAACATCCATATGAGGTATTGTCGATTATCCTATTATTCAAAACAATCATTACATGATTAAGGAATTTTCTAACAACTTAGAAATCGGAAATAAATAGAGAATGTGTAGGCGTTTAAGTTTTGGCAGTAATGATTAAAAGTTTCATTATTATTTGAGTTTTGAAGTTAATTGACATAAAGCAGCAATCTGTTCATGAAATAATTTTTAAAAATATCAACAAGAAAAAAAAACATTTGTTATTGGATATAATTCAATTTATATTAACTATTTCCACAGGTAGAAAACAAAAATTAGTTTTTGGAATGCAATTGATTATACAAGAAAAAAGACTTTATCTTAATCTATACAGGTTACAAAGAATTTTTTTGCAGAATAGACATATAAAGTAAGGGCATTGTCTGTTCTGTTCTAGATGCTATCCTATTTTTGCACTATAGGAAGCCACTGAAAAAACGTTGTCCTGTATTCATCTCTGTATTAAAAAAGCATGACGAACTAATGAAATCGTTATGGCATCGTTTCTAATAGAAACTCATAATTAGAGGTACGCAGAATGCTTCTCAAGATAAAAATTTGTCGATTTATTTCTGTTATAAATCAAACTAAAGTTGATAAGAAACAAAAAATAAGTTATGCATAACAGATATTTCTCGTTGATATTCAATTCTGATATGTCCTTGACCTTTTTGATTCCACTAATCTATCCAAATAATGATCAATAAAATGTATTGTATGAATCAAAATAATAATGAATGATATCATGATGAAAATTCGAATGTTCACTTTCCTAATTATTGATACGATTCAAATATAGTTTCTAAATAGTCATTTTTTTCAATAGTTATTCTCAAAATTTTGTGAATTCATCGAACTTTTCAGCAGCATTGACTAATAATGCCTTAGTTTTGTTACCATATGAGGACTTCTGGAGAGAGTTTGAAGTTTAATATAAAAAAAGGTCTGGATAATGTCCTTCAAAAGCGGGAAATTTTAGGAAACACCATTCATTACATAAGATCATTCGCAATAGAATAAACCCAATATTCACAAGAGAGAAATCATTCATTCATTTTTACCTTCATAAGCAGAAGTCAAAAAGTCTAACTTTTTTTGCGATTTTCTCAGAATCAAATTGTCAAACAAAAAAGTTACAGTTTCCCTTCCTTTCTCCTACACCGACAAAGTTTGACAGATTTTACAAAATTAGCACTATTCGAATAAATTTTTTTTTTAAATGCTTTTTTTATAGTACCTCGACTGTTTTGTTTCTTCTGAGCCTTAGAAACAATATTTTTCAAAGAAAAAAAAAATACGCATCCAGATTTGTTTCTAGTTGCCACAGAAAAAGCTTCAGCCACAAAAAAAAACGTAGTGTGAATATTTACAGAGGAAGAACTTCAGGTCATTTGTGGCTCTTAGTCTCTCAAGATCTCCGCCAAAAAAGAATTTGTGAATTTTGTGTCTATGACAACAGTTATTCTACTCATCGATATGTATCTACCGTGAAAGTTTCAAAAATTTTCTCCAAGTTGTTCTCGAGAAACCTCGGAAAAGGGGCAAGTCACCTCAGTACTTTTTCATACAAAGAAAATATTCTAGTAGAAATGGATTCTTTCTAGCAGAAATGTAAACATTTAACGTAGATATTCTTCGCCCATTTCTGCCTTCATAAGTAGAATTCGAAAATACTTATGGACCGCAATATCTCTTTTCGGAAATATTTTTTTAGTGAGGAAATGGTAGTCTTCGTAGGAGAGTTCAATCACATTACTTCTTCATTCTATGGAGAAATACTAGTCGATGTAGATTTTGGTAAGCAGAAATCTAAATTATTCGAAGAGAAATGATTTATTCATTTCTATCGTTATAAGTAGAAGTTAAAAATGAAATATAATGCATGGAATAGTGTTTGGTAGATATAAGGAATACAGG